TTTTGATAGGATGACTGTGTAGTAAAAATGAGCAGCTGTATACATAAGGATGCATGAACAGGGAGAGAGAGAGCTTCCTGGTAATACAGGTTCCCAATCCTGATACAGATTCAGATTGGAAACAGATTTCCTGAAACAACTTCTCTCTCTGTTCACTGTGATGACTTGTTTACATAGCCACCCTTTTAAAAGGTAGGTGATTTTAGGAGAGTCAAGGAACAACTAGAAAACTACTACCCAACCTCAGGCAGGCTTGGTTGCAACATTAAAATAAACCCTGCAAACATACATCCTTTAAGGAAAGGATTGATTCTTTTTTCATATAAGCACTTCAGAGTTTCTGTATTTTTGTCTGTGTTTTGAACACAGGCAATAATTTTTCCATAATACACAAACATATATTAAGGACATCAGGATGACAAACAGAACACATGCTCATTTGGTATGACTCCAGACTTTTCACAACTGACATGAAAAAATGCTGATATTTCTCTACTGTGTAATTATCCAACAAAGGAAATTATTTTTTAACTAGTTAATGGTAAATTTGATAGAAGTCATGTTGCAGTCAATGCAAAGTTTTTTACTGACTTGACTGACTTATCACTGCATGTGATACATCCTACTAAATCCCATCAACTTTCTTTAAATTGGTAACACAAGTAATACACATTCAATTTTTGTTTTCTTTTCTCTGCTTTATTGATTTTCAAAATAATTCTGCTGGCTTGATGTAGAAAATTGCATTAAGAAATCTATTTCCTTGCAAGGGAACAACATTATATATTTTTACTGGATTACAAACTGTCACTTGGAAAATAAATATCTTCTTTTGGCACGGACACTTGTTAAAAATACTTCTCTATTTATCTTTCAGCAAATCATTCTCCAAGAACACTTGATTCTTTAAAGGTTATTTCTGAAAGGCCTTTTGTAACTCATGGATCTTGCTGAAAAACATTTTGTTAAGAGATAATATAGTTATTGTTAAGAAAAAACAAGTAAACAAACCAACCCAGGCAGTCAAACATATGCATTTTCCAGCTGTTGTTCCTTGCCTGGGGACTTACTTCTGGAAAGCAAGATCCTTATTCTGGAGTTAGTTTTGGCATATGCAGCCACAAATCGGCTCGAATTAAATGACTGATGATTAAGAGCAAAAGAAAATATCCTCAAAATACCTTTTTTGTTGTGGGTTTTTTTTTGTTTTGTTTTGTTTTTGGTTTTTTTTGTTCTTTTATGTCTTTTTCTTAACTGAAATTCTTTATTTGAGTCAGAAATCATGTTTTACCTGGAAATTAGTATAGGTCTGATTCTACTGTCTTTATTGCAGTGAAATACAGATAGTTGGATTAGATGATCTTGCTGGTCTTTTCCACACTTAATGATTCTCTGATTCTATGAACTTCTTGAAATTAGTGGAAACTTTGAATAAAGCAAGATCAGTTTAAATGACTCAAGGCACTCTGCTCTTATTTCAGATTCACCGTAGCTCTTAGGTGTGCACTTGACTTTAAGAAAGTTGTGTTGTCACACCAAAACCAATTTTCAGGTTTAAAGTGAATCATTTGCTAACTGAATAATGACACCCCACCCCCCACCCCCCCACACACAAAACAAACAAGCAAACAAACAAACAAACAAAAAAACAACAAAAAAAAACCCAGAACAATCTTCAACTAATGAATTACTTAATTAATTTTATGCAAGGAGCAGAAGTACAAATTTCTGTATTAGTTCTACTGGCCTCAGTGCAGATGCAGATCTCTAAACAGACTCAAATATGCCAAGAACAGATTTTTTTTAACTGACTGTAGTTTTCCTTGGATGTAGAAATATACGAGAGTATTTAAATTTTCTGTAAGAATATGAGAGTAAAATGCTATAGAAAGAAACACAGACTAACTTAAATTTTTTGTAATATTTTTCACAAATTACCTTGCCACTATATATGTATATATAGATAGATATAGATATATACTGCTTTAATCATTCATACATCCATACAACAATACAAACTGTACAAATACATCCATATATTCTGAGGTCTTTGAAGTCACAATGATGATTCTCCTGCCCTTTATCAAATACACAGATTTTTTTTTTTCTCCCAGGAGTCATAGCTTCCATGCAAGCACTACATTAGAAATTCCTAATGGAAAGGGAACGTTCACATATTTATAATTAAATTAGAATAAAAGAAATATCCACAAGTGTAATCAATAGGTTATTGCAAAGTCATGATTATTTACTGAACAGTTTTTATAAGAATTAGTGCAAGGTAAAGAAATTTAACAAGATTTGGTACATGGCAAGAAATTATGATTCCAGTTGCATTTTTCTTCATCATGTTCTTTCATGTTCTTTCCTTCACTATGGGATAATGGGAAAAAATATAGGAAAAAAAATTAAAAAAAAAACAAAACAAAACAACATGAAATGACCTTCAGGATAGATATTTTTACTTCTGCTCAAGTCTAGAAAAAGAAGGAAAAAAAAAAAAGAAAAAAAAAAAGAAAAAAAAAGACATGCCTTATGCAGAAGTCCTTGATATTTTCTAACATGGTATTTGCTGTAACAAGCGGGATGCTTATAATTAGCAGTATTGTGTTGATTCGACAGCCTTCAGCTTCAGGGCTATGCATAACTGTGCTTCTGCACGTATCTGCCAGGTGCCAGAAGAGTACATGTCACATCGGCACTGAAATCCTCACGGCTGGGAGACCTCCCCCACTTGAAAAAGCATTTTAGCCTTTGAATGCCAAAAAAAGCATCACAGTGATTAAATTAAATGTAGCAGACAGACGGAAGTGAATGTATTAGAAATCTCAACTCCAGGAAAGACAAGCAGCAGAAGAGGCTGGGGGATGAGGAGAGGTGCTTCTCCTGGGAAAGCCCCTATTAAGCCAGTCCAATTTCTCATGAGTCCTGCAGGTCTGGCTGCAGGTTTGTGACAGGAGGATGAATCAAACTGTTCTGCTGGCAGGTCAACTTTGCACGTGTATATGTCGAGAGCAATTTCTATCTGGTTATGAATAACCGCAGCCCAGTTTTCTTTTCACACTGAATGATTCCACAGCTTCCCTAAAGAGGAAAGCAAGCTTCCTCACAGAGCTCCCACAGAAGGCTTTCTACCTCCCCTGGCCACAGCCTGGTGCTGCTGACATGGCAGGCAGCATGGGCCATTATTTTGAAATGGCAAAAAACATCACTGAATCGCATTACAAAATACTTAGCACAAGCACAAGCGCCCTTTTGGCCTCTGAATGGAATTTCTTTATTTCAGAAACTTCTCAGTTAAATAATTTCTTTATGTACTCAGCATAGAAGAGGAATTGAATCTCTTTGGACTGGCTTAGCCTCATGTCAGTGTACGTCTCCTGCACCTAGAGTACAAAGCACCTGTCATTTCTGTCCAGTAATTTTACATTTTACACTCATAAATAAAATCCTTGCTTCAGAATATAAGCCCTTCCCTACCTCTTAAGTGCTAAAATCCACAGCGTTCTGGGGTGTAGATTTCACTCTGCAGGGCTTGCATTCTCAGACGAGGAGACAAAAACATGCATTTTCCCATTTAGGAGGCTTTGCTGCCTGCATTGCACTAACAAGCTGCACAACATACAGCTGCATATGGCATCTTCTCATCACTCTAAGCATTAGGTGGAGGTGAAATAGTAAGGATGAGATATTCTTCACGACCACTTACCCTATTATAAAGTAATCATAGAAAAAGTGACCACAAATAAATAATAAAAGCTCTTCAAAGCATATATAACATCTAATCTCACTGTACTATCAGTTTTGAAGAAAATTTTCCCATCAGCATCAAGAGCGCACTCTGTTTAATAAACACCAAAAACCACATAACTATCTCAGCACGTACCCCTTTCTCTCAGCAATGCAAAACTTGCCTCCTGAGCCTCAAGATTTCAAAGAGAGCCTGATCCTCTCATGTCTGAAAATGCACTCTGAAAAGTGCAGCAAAACCAAAGGGAATTCAGCCGGTTCAGAAGCACCATTGCATGTAACAGATACTGGTCAGCAGTGCAAAGCGGATTCAGATCTACAGATAGCCTCTCCAAAGCATCAGTGATTGGAAAAAGAGAAGGCTCATTGTACTTCTTAACCACGCTGTCATCAGGTAAGACTTTCAGATTTTGATAACTATAACAAAAAGCATTCAGTGATCTTTACATACCAACAGCTAGGCAGAAATTACCAAGAAATCTAACTGCAGCTCTGCTTACCTATAACCAGCACCATCACTACTTTGTATCTCTCACAAAAACTCTGGCATTATTAGAAAAGTACGAAAATGGACAATACCATGAAGAAAACAAATACTTTGACTCTGAATTTGATAATGCAATGCTGCTGCCCTCACTGTACCTCGCAATCTCTTTTGCTCTTTACACAAAATTAGTTTCGCTATCACAAAACATTTAGTTACAGTTATAATTTTGCGATTAATCATAGTTATTAGATGTAATAGATGTAACTGACATCTACTGCGACACAGAGAAAAGCAAAAACTCAATAGATAGACGGATAGATTGAATCCACTTTCTAAGTGATACAACCTGAAAAACTCAACAAAGCCATTCCCAAAAATCAAAATTAAACAAACAAGCAGAAAACCAAACATGTAAAACATGCACCGAGAGAAATTTATAAGTCAACATAAGAATTTTATTATCAGAAAATTTAAGAGAAAAAGAACACGCCCATGAGATCTTAACATCACCATTAAAATAACCTTACGAAAAGTCCATAGTACCAGGCTAGAGTTTCTAGAAAAGCACATCTGCAGGACACGGAAAGAAGAGCTGGTGCCTCTGGTTCCCATTTGCTAGTATTTGTGTCCCCTTCAACAAGAGAAACATTTTAAAGTATCCAAAAGTCTAGCACTCTTAGGAACTCTTTTTTGCCTTTCAGCACACACCCTCTCCCCTTCTGTCAGTCTGCAAACACATCCAAGTTGTCAGAATGGTACCTACAAGAAATTTCAGAAGCTCTCATAAAAGGGCTTCGCATATGCAATCCACAGCACTGAACAGTGAATTTAAAAAACCCAATTTTTTTTCCGAGTTTGAAGTTTTTAAGCCTTGCGGATGGTTGGAGTAGGAAAAAGGAAATTTACTAGGCAGTACAAAGGAAATCTTGTTGTCCTCTATTGTGGCAGTGGGGGTGTTGCCCAATTCTAACTTATCTAGGTTGATAAAGGAAACCAAAGAAAACGCTACTGAAAAAAATTCCAATGAAAAAGGTACCCCTTTCTTACCTTAATAGTGCTTGCCATAATGTGATCAAGATTATTGATCGCTAATAATTGCTAATAATAATTATTGCTTCGCTCTGACCAGAAAGAAGTTTTGATGAGGTTGTTTAGAGCGGATGAGATTGTGCTAACTCTGGGAAATGAAGTCAGCCAATGGCAGGAAGAGGTTTCTATTGGTCCTGGCCACTGCAGCTCGAAGAAACAGGATATTTGGGAGTGAAGAGATAAGAGTCCTAAAACAATGTTGTTTTTCTTGATGATATGTGACTAAAAATCTTTTTTTTTTTTTTTTTTTTTTTCTAACAAAAAAAGTCCACTGCCTGTGACTGCCTGGGCAGGTGTGATCTGATGTGCAGTAAGTGCGACATGTTGCTCCAAGGCAGGATGCAGATGTCAGATGAAATGGGCCACGTTCGGCATTGGTTTCATGCAGTCTGCTCACTGGGGAATTGCTGATTCAGGGCCGCAGCCTGACTGCGTACAAGTGGGTGTATCTCCAAATATGTTAAAGCAGCCTGGCCAGCTTACACTGCATCTATATTTGTCCATTAACCTCATACGTAGGTTCTTGGGCTACGGACGCTTTCCAGCCTATCAGGTTTAGCACCTTTGTTCTTAGAGAAGAAGCAAGAGATTGGCAACAATAATTTCTTTTTGATACCTCTTTCTCACCAAGGAAAGGAAGTCACAGAAAAACATGCATTTCTAAAGCAAATGTCCGAATTCCTTAAATTTTTCACACTCTTCTGTTTGTTAGTTTATAGCTTTTCCTGCTCGAAAATGAGATGGTTTCACTGTCAATTCCCTTCCTGGTTTGAGCATGATAGTAACATTTTATACTGCATCTCATAATTATTTGTCCTTAGACAGAACTTGGCATACACAGGGCACCCCAAAATTTGCAGCTGTGCAAATAACACATCATCCCTGTCCTAGGCCCTTGCTTAGGAGTGCTGAGCTCTTAAAACAAAAAGAAGGAGGTTGGGAATGAGAAAGGAAAAGTGTTTGCATGGTATTAGATGCCATGCAAAGACCCAGCGCTGGCATAATTCTCTCTCACTCTTGTAAACCTTGCAACACTTTGGATGATAAAATTTTGAGAATAGAACTCTCTAAAACTGAAAAAAAAAAAAAGAAAAAAAAATTAAAAAAAAAAATTAAAAGTAAGAATGTATTACTTCTTCAATAATCTTGCAGTTTTTAAAGCCTGTCTGACTGCAACCAGCTTCTGATTTCTCAATACTTGCTGTAACAACATCAGAACATCGGACATGTTGTTTGACAGCACCACAGCCTGGTGTATAAAATTCCACTATAGCAGGCATGTGCTCTCTACCTAGGAACCCTGTTGTGGTCAAAAAAGAGTAAAAAATAGTGACAACCTTTAATGGCATCATTTAGTAGAGGCTGGCAACCTCATCCTCTCCCAGTGCCTTCCTCTCCTGCTCCTTGGGAAAAGAAATGGAAATAAGAGCATTTTTCTGTACCTGGCCATGACTGTGATATTTGGAATGAACTTTTTCCAAATGATACGCACTGACAATGGTAGTAGCACGAGCCCCAGGTCAATCTTTTCCTCCCATGCTGACCCAAAGCTGTTCCTCCAGAGCAGTATCTGTTGTAGGTGAACTCCCAGACTCTGGCCCTTGGGCCTTGACCGTGCAGGTGCTGCTCCACCTCAAGTGAGGCAGAACAGAGGGGAAGCTCCTCCATCCACCCTTGCTGATGGGAATGGCCCCATGGGGACCACATAGCAGGCAATCCCAGGACCCAGCTGTTGTGCTCCTATTACTGAGCAACACAGGACTGGAGCAACTAGGATCTGTAAGAGGTCCTTGTGGGAAGTCCTTATTTTAGTCTTGGCAGTATGTCACACAGCTGAGCCTCTATCCCAGCTCATCTCCACCTGCCTCACAAGATTTGAAGTCTTGAGGCCTCCCCAGCCAGCCCAAGGGGCTGAGGAAGCATCCAGCACAGAATTGGAGACTTGTAGAATGGCTTGGGCTAAAGCCCATGCCATCTCAACCCTTGCTGTGGGCAGGGCTGCCCTCCACCAGCTCAGGCTGCCCAGGGCCCCATCTAACCTGGCCTTGAGCGCCTCCAGGGATGGGGCACCACAGCTTCTCTGGGCAGCTGTGCCAGTGCCTCACCACCTTCCAAGGAAAGAATTTTCTCCTGACACCTAACCTAGCATCCTCTTGATACAGAGAAAATGGAGGCAGTGTCTTTTACTTTTACTCCCCACTCTGAGTCCTGAGATATCAAAGGATCAATCCGCTGTAAAAGTTTAGCATGATTTTAATGTTTACTTTAATGAGTTCTGGTTTCCTCCATTGCAAAGGTGACTTTTGGTCCACTCAGAGCAATTCACAGCACCACTGTGAATAATTTCTGTTCTTTATGAGTTATTCATATAAAAATCCGGAGTCACACTGCTGACTATCTTCTTGAGGCCTTCATCCATTGATTTAGTCAGTAACTTCTGGTAACTTTCCTATTTTCATTATGAATAGCAAAAAAGAAAACAATTTACAGTAATTGTATTTCATGGGGATGTTGATTTCCTCCCTTTTCATCTCCAAACAATGAGTAAGGCAGCCAAAAGATTAGAGCCTTTTTCTTGAAATTTCAGATAGTTGTATAATGTTTCAGTTGGGTGACTTACACTCTAGTTAAACCCCTAATATATATATACATATATATTATATATGTATGTATGTATGTATGTATGTATGTATATATATATATATATATATATATATTTCTTAATCATATCCTTGAAGTATCTATCCCTCCAGTGGGTGGGATTTACCAAATTCATTCACAAGCAAGATTTAGTAATGATTCTTCTCCATCCTGTCTACATATAGACAAACCTCCTGTTGATTTCTGTAGGGCTTTTGGAAGCATACAGCAGGCAATATCAGACTCTGCTGAGCTCTGTTATTCTCATTACATGAGTTTTACAGAGCCTACAGCCAGTAAGGATTTTGCCATTTCAAACTGGCATACATTCTATGCCAAAGAATTCAATGAAGTTTATTTGACTTTCATGCTAATACCCACAGGCAGATTTCTGAGGGCTTACACTTAATGTCAATCCAATTGCACGGCAAAGCCTTCGTATTGTAAGAATAGCAAAATCAAATCACCATCATTCAGTTACAACAGAAAAATAATATAAACACTTCCATTATTTTTCTCTTTTCTGCATTTTGTTAAGGCTAACTAGAAAGAAAATATGCTTTTGTTATGTTAGGCAACTACATGCTATTGTCTGAAATAATGTTGTGTGACTTTGAAAAAATGTGTCTTTGTCAACAGACTGAATGAAAACACAATAATACAAAAAGTATCAAAGAGTACAAAAAGCCACATAAGCCACATAACACTGCTTCCCTCCATAACTTTGCTCTCAAGCTTTTTGCCCCAATTTCTCTGGGCTACTTTCTGATGAAATTTTCTTTTACATTCAAGCTTGCATCTAGAAACCACAGAACAGCAAAACAATACCTTATCTGCTTGGCACTACATATGTGCTTATGCTATTTGATCAAAACAGGATTTTTAAACATGCTTTAAAGTTACAGCTGTGCTTCAGTTCTTTCAAAGATACAGACAGGCTTAAACACTGCTTTAAGTGCCTTCGACCTTCAGGATTAAAGAGCTCCATTTTTAAAGACGAGTGTTTCTACACTGGAGACAAAAGATAGATTTGATCTCACCATGCAAAATAAATGATTTGACTAGGTGCTAAAAAGAGATAAATTTCCAGAGAAAATTTACAACTGCTGGAACAAGCTGCTGTGTTTGTTACAGCCTTTAGCACTAGTACAAGAAGTATGTCCAGTATGTGTGCACTCACCTAAAAGACAAGAAAATATTTCAGAAGAAATCATTTATCATACTATTAGAAACAATCTTATTAACTTTTAAAACAATCTATCCTCGTTTTGTTGATTGTTTTTTGTTTGTTTGTTTGTTTGTTTGTTTTTTATATCATATCTACTAGAGTAGGAAATATATCACAGCATTCCCTGTGTGGACAGCTCTGCAATCCATCTTGCTATCTGGGAGGTAAACCAAGAATGTGGCTCCTGAGCCTGGTTGACCAAGAGGATAGAGGTGACTCTAACATCCTCACAAAAGCCATGGAGAGGAGAGGAGAGGAGAGGAGAGGAGAGGAGAGGAGAGGAG